TATTTTCAAGTGAATTTAATGCTAAATTTCAGCTTTCCAACGCCTTTTTAATGCGTGTTTTCTCCTACAACATCAGAGTGCAGCGCCACATTAAATACGCACTACAATGACAATAGTTTAAAGTGATTTGAAGTATGTTTATTTTCAAAATGGAAATGTTTTTTTTTTGGGGGGGGGGGGCAGAGCTTTGTGACGTCATATTTGAGGGGGGGGGTCTGACTTTTGTGACGCCGTGTGACGAGGGGGGGGGGGGGTCAAAAATCGTCCAAAATGGACGGCCCCTAGCAGCAAAAGTAGCGACATATACTACGGGCCCCGCACTTTCAAGGGCCCCACGCTAAATGCTTTCAAGCTGATAATTGGTTTTTTACCCTTCTATCTGGCAACAAAACTGACACCTTTTTACAAGGAGTCATGTTTGCATAGACCACAATACCTGCAGTCATAATGCAAACAAAAAACATAACTCTGATAATGTATGCACTGTCCTTGAAGTTGATTGGTCCACACCCGAGACAGCTTTCCTTAGAGCCCAGTCTCACATGGTGTTGGACCAGATGACGCCAAAAGGCGCCAAAAGGCGCCATCTGGTCCAACCCATGTGAGACTAGGCTCTAAGGAAAGCTGTCTCGGGTGTGGACCAATCAACTTCAAGGACAGTGCATACATTATCAGTTATGTTTTTTGTTTGCATTATGACTGCAGGTATTGCGGTCTATGCAAACATAACTCCTTGTTAAAAGGTGTCAGTTTTATTGCCAGATAGAAGGGTAAAAAAACTATTATCATATTTTTACTGGCAAATGAGGTTCCCATGGTGCTTTCAAGCTATCAATTCTGCTTCAGCGATTCTGCACTTGCTCTATTACTATAGTACTATACCGCCTTCAACTTTTATGAAGGACTGGGTATTTAAGGTTAGCGATTTGTCGTATTATCTGGCTGTACAGAAATGAAAAAATACAATTACTTTGCTATGCAAGTAAAAAATGTGTGTTTTAATATTTATGTTTAATAATTAATTTAGGGCCCCTTCATAACATTCCCTACAGGCCCCGCACTTAGCTCCATCCGGCACCTACCTGCGCACACGGATACGTCGCATTGTGTGGACCACCGGCGCCGACGAGCAACGTGGCTCCCTATTGGCCGAAACGAGCGCACCTACGAATAAGCTCCCACGCCATTGGTGGAAGGGAGACGAGTGACGTCATAAGGGGGCGTGACGAGGGACGGGAGGAGAGAAGCGATTGGATGGAGAGAAAAAGAGCGGGAAAGAGAGAGGGAGGAGAGGATTGTGGGAGGATCCGGGGACTTTTCATGGTGGTGGAAGCAGATGATCTCAGGAGCAAAAGTAGCTACTAATGCTACGGGCGCCACACTTTCAAGGGCCCCCACGCTAAATGCTTTCAAGCTATCAATTCCGAATCAGTGATTCTGCACTTGCTCTTGGGGCTGTCCATAAATGACATCTATGCGATTTTGGACGATTTTTGACCCCCCCCCCGCCCCTTCGTCACACGACGTCACAAAAAGTCAGACTCCCCCCCCCCCCCCTCAAATATGACGTCACAAAGCTCTGCCCCACCCCCCCCCCCCCCAAATCATACTTCCATTTTGAAATTGAAACATGCTTTCAAATCGCTTTAAACTATTGTCATTGTAGTGCGTATTTAATGTGGCGCTGCACTCTGATGTTATAGGAGAAAACATTTATTAAAAAGTCTATTTAATTCAGTAGAACGTGTTGTTTATATTTATTCAAAGTTGTGCATTTTGATGTGACGTCACAGTTCTCAACCCCCCCCCCCCTTGTCACACATCGTCACAAATGTCTGACCCCCCCTCCCCCCTAGGTGCGTGATGTCATTTATGGACAGCCCCCTATTACTATAGTACTATACCACATTCGACTTTTACGAAGGACTGGGTGTTTAAGGTTAGCGATTTGTCGTATTATCTGGCTGTATAGCAAATGAAAATAGACAATTACTTTACTAGGCAAGTTAAAAATGAGTGTTTTAATATGTAAGTGTTTTTGACATTAATTTAGAGTCCCTTTATAAGATTGGCTACAGGCCCCACGCTAGCTTAATCCGGCACTGGGTGGAAGTTGACACAAACGCACGCTGCAGAAGATAATACAATCTGTTTAACATGTAGGCTTTCACGACCAAGATTATTCAAAATAAAGGTTTTTGGGTTAGATCGCGTTATTTATAAATGTGTCGTAACCCTCCACCACCCAACACGGCCAGTCAATAAAACAAGTTTCGATTTAAAGCTTTCGTGACTGCAGGGATTCATCTTCTTGGTTCTTTCGGTAAAGTCACGTAGAAGGGAAATAATAAAAGAATAAAAATAAAACATAATAAAATACAATTCTGTATTTGTGAGAATTGTATTTTGTTTTATTTTTATTATTTTATTATTTCCCTTCTACGTGACTTTACCGAAAGAACCAAGAAGATGAAAGTAAAAAAAATGTGTCACGTTTACAAAGGACAAATCGTTCACTACTTTAGCCCACCGGTGTGTTGAAGAGTGAATCAACATCATTACATTTACTGTTTGGTCGTGTCGGGTGGTGGAGGGTTACGCCACATTTATAAATAACGCGATCTAACCAAAACACCTTTATTATGAATAATACAATCTTCTCACACCTTTTCAACAACCAAGGTTTTAGATTCGTCAAATGATGGGACTTATTTATTTCAGCGGGCATACTGGAAACCACGGTCGGTCAAACAAACCGTGGTTGGCAATGGGATTTGTGTATTGTCGGGTTTGTGACTGCCCTAAGGCCCAACAGGGGACCGCCAGTGGCCTCACTGGGGGCCCTTAGCAATGACAAGACACAGGCTCCAGAAGGCAGGCCATACCCACAGCAGCCTTTAACCCTTTCAGGCTGGAGCGCACCTTGTGTCCAGATCCATCGAGGATGTGTGAGCTCCTCACACATCGTGATCCACTTCAATAGGTGGTTAGTGATAGTAGTGTCAGTCGTAGCAGGAGGAGGCTTTCGCGACCAATATTATGCGGCGGTGTAGAGAGACTGGCACCCAGCATCAGAGGCTACTCTGCCAATACTGGTGAATAGATGGGTGGTTGAGTAGGTGGGTGGTTGAGTAGGTGGGTGGGTGAGTAGGCGGGTGAGTGGGCGATTGAGTGTTTGGGTGAGTGGGTGATTACAACCAGCAGCCTCTCCGTGACTGTGTTTTGTCTCTCTCTCAAATTTTGCAATCTTTGGAAGAACATAATCAACCTGGTAGGGTTTTGACTGTTATGTTAGCCGACTCTCTGTGTTGTATTGCATTACATTTCTAAGTTTACTAGGTTTGTTTTCTCTTTCATTTGTACCTGATGATGATTGCTTGTGTTGCAATCGAAACGTCGTATGCTATTATTTAATTTATTTTCTTTCTACGTGACTTTACCGAAAGAACCAAAGAGCAATTCCTGCAATCACGAAAGCTCCAAATCAAGTTTGAAACGTATAAGTCTGAAAAAAAATGTTTTACTCTTTCTGGCAATAAAACAGGTGTTAAAATGTTAAAACACCAACATAGATACCAAAGATAATGCGGATATATTATCAGAGCATGTTTAGTTTTCATGTTCACCACAAGTACCGTGGGTGATTAATGCAGTCACTTGATTCCTTGAAATAGGTAAAGTAATCTAGTTCGTGTGTGAACATTTTAACACCTGTTTTATTGCCAGAAAGATGAAAATACGTTTTCATACTAAATTTAGAAACGTTACATAGAGCTAGCTACTAAAGATTTTTAAAATATAGAAACAGGTGATGAAGGGATAATGAGAGGGTGGTGTAGCTAGAGTAGACACGTGGTGAAGGGATAATTAGTGAGAGGATGGCGTAGCTAGATAACACAGGTGGTTATGAATTAAGGACCGAGAGGGAGATATAATAAAAGGGAAGCGTCGCGGGCAGGAGGCACACTTAGCCGGGACGAAGACCAAGAGTTGTATAGCGCCGCTGAAGCTGTTACCCGTTACGAGTTGTGAAAACCCCATGTAACTCTCGATTTAAAGCTTTCGTGACTGCAGGGATTCATCTTCTTGGTTCTTTCGGTAACGTCACGTAGAAGGGAAATAATAAAATAAAAACATAATAAAATACAATTCTCACGACGTTTTGGCCACAACGCAAGCAGCCGACCTGCTGCTTGCGTTATGTTTTATTATTTATTATTTCCCTTCTACGTGACTTTACCGAAATAACCAAGAAGACCCATGTAACTCGTCGGAGCTCCTTTATACTGTGATACTGGTGTAGGGGCGTGTATGGGCTACGCGTAGCGACACATACGGACTGTGTACATTCACCTGTAGAGGATGACACAGTCCAGCAGGGGCGGTCACATATCCCTAGCCCCGGAGCAGGAGGGGCCTGTGGGGTGTCCTGGGATCCCCCGGGGCCCCTCCCTCAGGACCCCACCCCTGAGTTGGGAGGTGTGTATATAAGCGGGACCTCTCTACAGGCTCGGGGCCAGTTGAAGACAGAATCAGGAAGACTGGACAGATAGGACCCTGGGACCCCCAGCCCCACTGCCCTTGTCAGGGCCGGGACTCTGTGTGGCTCGGTGGTGAGACCCTGGGAACCCCCGGCCCGATGTCCTTGTAAGGGCCGGGTCTGAGTGGGCCAGTGGTTGGAACCCGCACCCCTGGCTAGATCGGGTTCGATTAGCCTCCCCTAGGCATCCATAGCCGGATGACCTAGAGTAGCAGTCCCGTATAGGGCATGTTAGCCCCAAGGCAGTACCTTCCTAGGCAAGAGTTATAGTAGGGCCGTTGCCCTGAGGGTGCCGGGTTGTACTGCCGAACATTGTGTTGAATAAAGTGTTGCCTCCAAGACTCGTATCCGACGTCTCACGAATCCACAACACTACACTGGCGAAATGTATCCCATGATACGTACACGTCGATTGCATGCTAGTATCTCGATTATAAAACATAGCACACGGACTCATCACATCAATCATATTTTTTAAAAGTTTGTTTTGGGTTATAGACACAGGCAGACAGACCACATGCACGGGGCAGACGTCTGGCAAACTTTGGGAGAGTTCAACGAGACATCTTGACAGAAAAAACAATATATTTCAAACATTTTTGTTTGCCGAGGATTTACTGCTGAGCCGATGATTCATATCCTCAATTCAACCACCACTTCCGGATTTAAAAATAAATCTTTCCTCTGTCACACTCTCTCTCTGTCTGTATATCTGTCTTACTTTCTGTCTCTCTGTATCTCTCTCTCTCTCTCTGTCACTCTTTCCCTGTGTGTCTCCATCTCTCGCTCTATCTCTCCCAATGTGCCTCTCTTTATTTGTATCTCTGTCTTGTATTTCTCGCTCTGTCTCTCCCTGTGCGTCTTCCTGTCTCTCTCATCCTGCGCCGGGTGGTGGTGGCGGCCCTTAACCACAAAGCTTTGGCAACAGATCTCGATCCATGGTTGAAGAAGGCTGCCCTGCTGTGGTTCCCGTGAAGGCCTCGATATTGCATTAAGATTTACACAGCCCCAGAGAAGAAAACAACTATTACTTAAAAAGGGACTTTCCAAGGACTTTCCAGGGACTTTCACGACTATCATGTTTTTGTACTGTTTGTTGTTGTAACGTTCTTACCTCAGTTTAACATGTAGGCTTTCGCGACCAATATTAATCATAATAAAAGTTTTTGGGTTAGATCGCGTAATTTATAAATGTGTCGTAACCAACCCTCCACCACCCGACACGGCCAAACAGTAAAAATGTGTCACGTTTACAAAAGACAAATAATTCACTACTTTAGCCCACCGGTGTGTTGAAGAGTGAATCAACAATTTACCTCGTGCCCCTTCTGAACGTTACAAAGAGCTGTATAGCTCATCGGATTCCTTTTGCAGTATAAATACAGATTCTGCTTCTGCGTTCCCCTTTGGCCCAGCTCCACCCCCGAGGTCACCAGGAAAGTCACCAGATAGTCACATGATTATACGGTAAATTACATTTTTTTAAGCAAACCAAAAAATAAACCCGATTTAAAATGCAACCAAATCACAAAAGCGGTTAAAAATAAGAAACCTCTTCTCGTGCTAACGAGCTTGAGCCCACAGTGCACTGCAGCGTTATCGCGGCTTCGAGTGGTTGGTGGGTCAAAGAAACCGAGTGTGTATCAGCGGCCTCTAGTGGTCGGTGGGTGATAGACACCGGGGGTGTATCAGCGGCCTCTAGTGGTTGGTAAGTGCACTGTAGATAAGCTGGCGTCGGGAGAGGGAGAAAATGGAGCAAGGGAGAGTGTGGGGCAGAGGTCGCAACCGGGTACCCGATACCCGTACCCTACCCAATACCCGGCTACCCGTACCCGGCCAGGTACGGGTACCCGTTTGCGACCCTGGTGCGGCCGGGTACGGGTACGGGTAGTCCGTGAGTCACTGGTGAGTACCCGTTTGTCACTCATTTCGGGTAGGGTACGGGTACCCGGCCGGGTACGGGTACGGGTACCCATTTGCGACCCTGGTGCGGCCGGGTACGGGTACGGGTAAGGAATCAAAACCCTTTTGCGACCTCTGGTGTGGGGAGAATGAGGAGTGTGGGGAGAGTGTCAGGAGAGTGTAGAGAGTGTAGAGAGTGCAAAGGGAGTCACATGGCCCCTGTCTCTCTCTCTAGATGGGAGCCGTGCGTGGAGCTGGGAAGCCGTCTCCGTCCAGGGCGCGGATCTTCTTATCCCGCACGTGGAGGTGGCGGGCCAGGAGGCCAGAGGTGAGGGCCGACAGAGGCTGCGGGAGAAATTCCACATTCCGATGGCGGGGCAGAATCAGGTCACATGGCACTTAAGCCTTCCAGAAAACCAGCTCTTCTCAAATAGGGTGGGTGGGTGAGTGGGTGGGTGAGTGGGTGGGTGAGTGGGTGGGCGAGTCGGTGGGCGAGTCGGTGGGCGAGTCGGTGGGCGAGTCGGTGTGTGAGTCGGTGGGTGAGTGGCTGGATGGGTGGGTAGTGAGTAAGCGGGTGAGTGAGTGGGTGGGTGAGTCTTCTTCTTTTGTATGGATGAATAGCAGCAAATTAAATACGTACTTTTAGAATGTTGTTATCCACTCAATTATTATTCTTTGGGTCTTTCGGCAAAGTCACGTAGATAGGTTCTAAGAAAATAACAGAAAACTTCAATTTGTTTTCCCTATCCTGATGACGATTGCTTGTGTTGCGATCGAAACGTCGTAGTTTTTTGTTATTTTCTTTGAACCTATCTACGTAACTTTACCGAAAGATCCAAACAATATTAATTCCTGCTGTCATGAAAGCTTTAAGTCAAGATCTACTCATACTCTTAGGTTTTTTCGGTAAAGCCATGTAGGGGAAAATAAATAATAAAATAAAAGAAATAACAATAGAAATAAAATAAATCACGACGTTTCGGAGGCAACACAAGTCTCCGTCATCAGGTGGGAGAGTCACAGATAAAATGTACTTTATCATGCGATGTATATGATTTATTAATTAATTATTTTTGCCTATGTGACTTTACCGAAAAATACCTAAGAGTATGAATCCTTGCAGTCACGAAAGCTTCAAATCTAGAATTAAGATCCACTCAATTGTCTGTTCAGACACGGAGTGGATCTCGTCCATTCCCACTTTAAACGAGTGAAGACAGTAGCAGCAGCAGCGGCAAAATGTTTACAATGTGGTCGATGATTTGGAATTGGTGGCCACACTCGCAGGACGCCGAATCTTTGATGCGCCATTTGTACATCAGGTAGCCGCATCAGCCATGCCCGGTCCTAATTCAGTTGATGGTCGACCATTGGCGGCGTGGAAGGTTGAAACCGGGAGGTTCGATGGTAGGATAAAGAGATGCTTAGTTTTGACGTCGGCCGCAGTCCAGACTTTCTTCCATCTCTCGCCTTCATTGATATTTGTGGCGTGGCGTGAGGCTGCTGTGATCCAGAAGTGGTGGTATGATTTAGGCAAACAGGCGGCACTGGGTTTATGCCCCGATGTATCGGAAGGTGCGGGTTGACGACTATTTTTTGGTACTCCCCGACGGCCGCCGTTTTACGACGGATTTGCGGCGGAACGATGTGGGTGAGCACTGGGAGCCACCGGGTCAGTGTCAACTTCAGTTTACCTTTGATGGCACGAATTGCAATGTTCAGCTGTGTGTCCATAACTCGAGTGTGAGCGCTGCGTACCATAACAGGTGAGCAATACTCTCCCGTCGAATACACGAGGTCGAGCGTTTCAGTCCGTAGTGTTCGAGCATCACAGCCCCAACTAGTTCCCGCCAGTTTATGGATGATGTTCACGCGGGTTTGTATCTTGTTGCCTGAGAGTGAGACTGTCTTATGAGCAGTACTCCAATGTATTTTGGGAGTGGGTCGTGGGTTATGGTTTTACCACAAAACTCGACATTCAGGGTTCTTTTTACTTCCGCGTTGTTGAGATGGAATGCTGAGGACACAGTCTTGGTTGGATTTGACTTAAGTCGCCAGGAATGAAAAATAATCTTCCAATTTCTTTTAGGTCGGTGTTCAAGATGTCTTGAGCTGTGCTGAGTGTCGCTGCGAGGCTGACCAGCGCTAGATCGTCTGCGTAGATTAACTTGCTGATTAATGTGACCCGCATGTTGCTGATGTACAGATTAAACAGGGCTGGTGCTAATACTGACCCCTGCGGTAGGCCATTTTGTAGAGTTCGTGGGTGGCTGACCTGGTTACCGAGATGGACGCGAAATTGTCAGCTGCTTCGCATACTGGCGATGAGGTAAACCGTTTTTTTCACACTTTATGGTGTTGGGTAGTTTAAAGAGGAGTCCTTGGCGCCAGACCATGTCGTATGCAGATGACAAGTCTATAAAAGTAGCCGCTGTTTTCTGTTTATGCTCAAAGCTGGCTTCGATGTGTGATGTAAAGGCGAGGACCTGGTCACAACAGCTTCGTTGTGGCCGAAAACCTGCCTGATCAGGTGGTATGGTGGCTTCCAAGAGAGGAGAGCTACCATTACTCGATCCAGTAGCTTGTAGACTGTACATTGTACAAAGAAGAGAGATTGGTCTGTAGCTGTGTGGGTTATCAGCAGGGTTTTCTGGCTTGCGGAGAGCAATGTTTTCAACTTTCTCCAAAGTGTTGGTAGCTTGCTGGTGGCGATGATATTTGAAAAAAAGTTTCTCCAGCCAGATTCCTCCTTTGCTGTCAATGTGTTTTTGGAATTCCAGGTAAATCCCATCTATTCCTGCGGCTTTACCTGCCTTTGTTACCGCCAGTGCGGCATCTATTTCTTCTGGAAGAACAGCTGCAGACATAGGTGATTTTTTGTCACAGGTGGAGAATGTATCTTTTGTGGCTTGTTTTGCTGTGCATTTTTGTTTTCAACTTTTTCTTGTTTCTGTATTGCAAAGAAGCTGCACCGCTATCCCATCAGCAGTTGCCTTAGCAGTCCGGTATTCTGAGGGTGCCGCTCCACTGAGCTTCTGGAGTTACCCGTCTGATGGCTGTTGAAGTCGCCTATGTAGATCAGGGGATGTTGCACCGCTGGCAATGGTGATAGGTGCCAGGTTGTTGCTGGCGGCTTGTAGACATTGTACACGATGAGACCGGCGATTATTATCCCAATTGTGAAGTCTTTGTCCATCTGAATAACTTCCGCTGCATCTTTGATGCGATGCGCGACAGAAGTAGCCAGATCGTGATTAGCGTGGTCCTTAGAAGCAGCGAGGATGTACCCTGGAATGTTCAACAGTAGAGAGCTGCTTTCCTCCACGCGTGTCTCTTGGATAGTAAGGATGGCGATGTTTTCTTGCTGAAAAATATTCGCGAGGACACTCATCTTCGCTCGGGATAGGCCCTCAACATTTACCTGGCATGGACGAACTGCTGTAACCCAGAGGTTGACTGGCGACATACGGCTTCCGTGGCGATGTTGTTCATTACGAATTTCGTTGTAGGCTTTGTTCACATAACAGGGTGGGCCACGAGAAGGCTGACATGACCCACCCCGCTGGGTCAGTGAGCCGTTGAGTGAGTGGGTGGATAAATGAGTGGGTGAATGCGTGGGTGAGTGAGTAAATAAGTGGGTGGGCGAGTGAGTGGGTAGTAAGTTAGTGGGTGAGTGAGTGAATGAATCATTAGGTGAGTGAGTGGGTGAATGGATGGGTGGGAAAGTGGGTGAATGAGTGGGTGGGTGAGTGGGTGGGGTGAGTGGGTGGGTGAGTGGGTGGGTGGGTAAGTGGGTGGGTGAGTGGGTGGGGTGAGTGGGTGGATGAGTGGGTGGGTGAGTGGGTGGGTGAGTGGGTGGGTGGGCGAGTGAGTGGGTAGTGAGTAAGTTAGTAGGTGAGTGAGTGGGTGAATGAGTGGGTAGGTGAGTGAGTGGGTGGGTGAATGGATGGGTGGGAGAGTGGGTGAGTGGTTGAGTGAGTGAGTGCGGTTACCAGGGCGACGAGCACCGCAATGAGGAGTCCCAGCACGAGGGAGCGGTGAGATTCAACCAGCACGATGAGAGCATCCATACAGCCCTGAGAGACGGAGAGAGTCACTCACCCACTCACTCACCCACTCACTCACCACTCAATCACTCACCCAATCACCCATCCACCTACTCACTCACCCACTCACTCACCACTCAATCACTCACCCACTCACTCACCCAATCACCCATCCACCTACTCACTCACCCACTCACTCACCACTCAATCACTCATCCACTCACTCACCCAATCACCCATCCACCTACTCACTCACCCACTCACTCACCACTCAATCACTCATCCACTCACTCACCCAATCACCCATCCACCTACTTACTCACTCACTGACCCATTCATCCACCCATCTACTCACTCACCTACCCACTCACCCACTACACCCACCCACTCACTCACCCACTCACTCACCATTCAATCACTCATCCACTCACTCACCCAATCACCCATCCACCTACTCACTCACACACCCACCCATTCATCCACCTATTCATCCACCCACCTACTCACCCACTACACCCACCCACCCACCCACTTGCTCACCCACTAAATCACTCACCCACTAACTCACTCATCCACTAACTCACCCACTCACTCACCCACCCACTCACCTACTTACCCACTCACCCAGTCACCCAGTCACTCACCTCACCCAGTCACACACTTCCCCACTCACTCACCCACTCACTCACCAACTCACTCAACAACAACAACCGCCATTCACCACTAAGTGGCGGTGACATCACCACGACGCTTGTGCCAGTCTATGTGCACCTTGAGGCCACGTGAAGTGTCGAACGCCCCGCTGGCAGGAGGTCACGTGGCAGACCCAGATGCCACAGGTCGACTGACTGAGACGACTGGCTGATGTACCACCTGTGCTCCCTATTGTGCCAACTTGCTGTGTTTTAGCCACCTGGCACTCCGCTCATTGTTGTGAGCATCGCTCCTCCGCCCTCCGTTGTTGTTGGAGGGCGACTGCCTCCAACTGCAACAGCGCCTCCAACTCCTCTTCTGAGTGAGGAGCAATTAACAGGCATATATAACATGGTTGAGCAATAGGGAGCCATCCCTTGACCGCACCCGCGCATCGATCATCCTCCCATTGTATCTGTACCAGATGGAAATTCCTCCGGTACAGCTATTGAAAGCTTCACAAACTACGTGGTCGAAATAGATGTTAAATAATGTGGGAGCCAGAGGACATCTCTGTCGCACCCCAAGGTGTACAGGGAATGGCTCCGACTCCCGGCCACGTAGTTTTATCCGGGCCTGCTCGCCATCATGAAGGTCCTTAATGATCGTGAGCAGAGGATCAGGGACTCCGAAAGCACGAAGAACAATCCAGAGCCCAGGCCTACTGATGGTATAATAGGCTTTGACCAGGTCAATAAAGCAGAGGTGTAGGTCTTGTTGGAATTCCCTACACCTCTGCTGTAGCAGACGGACAGAAAATATTGCATCTGTGCAGGACCGCCCTTTCCTAAAACCGCATTGGGGCTCCGCAAGCCTCTCTTCAGCGTGCCTATCAACGCGATGTTGAATAATCCTTGCCATGACCTTTCCCGGCACACTGATGAGTGAGATGCACCTGTAGTTGTTACAGTGTGTGCGGTCCCCCTTCTTAAAGAGGGGGACCACCAGGGCATCCTTCCAATCCTGCGGAACCCCTCCAGTGGTCCAGACTGTTGTTATGATGTCATGTAGGGCAGTCTGTGCACAAATACCACCCTTCGTCAGCATTTCGCTTGGGAGATCATCTCTGCTTGGTGCCTTTCCTGGTCTCAGGTTCTGGATCGCCTTCAGTACTTCTTCAACAGATGGCACCTCAGCCAACCACTCACAGGGGGTGACTACTTCTTCCAATATTTGAGACACCGCAGCCTCGGCAGGGTCATCCCCACTTTGTCCCATGTTTTTCAGGCTCACAGAAATGCTCATGGTAATTGGTATAGCACTGCAGGTTACTTTTTTGATGGAATTAAAGAGGCATTTGTGATCACAGGCCAATGAGGCAGACCATCTCCTCAGCAACCCGCGACCACCACCCATCCTTGCAGCGCCTCACAGCTCGCCGAACCTCCCAGCGAAGGCTGCGGTAAGCCTCCTCATTCTCCGACGTGGGATGCTGTAGCCGATGAGTGGGCCTGTCACTTTTTCCCAGCCAGCTTGAACACCTCCTCTATCAGCCAGGGTCTCTGGAGACGTCTGGACCGTGTACCCAAAGCAGCCATTGCAGCTGCATGAGCCACAGTCCTAAACCTCGCCCATGGGACGATGCCAAACCCAGCCGCAAGCGATGATGAAATTCTCGCTTGAAACTTTCATCAGCTAGCTGAGACCAGGCCACTAAGGGTTTGAATGGGGTCCTGGGTGTACACCCACCACCGGAGTGAAAGAATGGCAGGCGCATCTTACAGATGACAAGTCGATGGTGAGTTGGCAGATCAGCATCACGGTAGGTCCTGGTGTCAAGGACATGGGCCCGCATCCGCTGTTCTGTCACTATGTAGTCCAGCAGATGTTCTTGCTTGGACCCGGCATGCATCCATGATGTGGTGTGGATGCGCCGATACCGGAACAGCGTGTTGGTAATTACAAGCCCATGGGCTGCACAAAAACCTAGCTGCCTCCTGCCATTGTTATTGAGCTGATCTGGCCCATGCCTTCCAATCACTCCAGACCAGGTGCCAGCATCATGACCAACTCGGGCATTGAAGTCACCCAACAAGATGACTTGTGACAGGAGGTCAGAGAAGGCATCTGACTCATCAGCCTTGCCTGCATCCCTCCACAGATTTTCTTCTTCAGTGGGGGAATAAGTAACCATTACCACCATTCCTCGCCTCTGGTTGATAAGAAGGCGAGCCCAAAGTAGCCTGGGCTTACAGCTTCCCACACCTCACCGCCACGCTCCCACGCCCCCTTCATTATTTTGTTCAGAATAAGAGCCACTCCCTGTTGTTTGGTAGTCTCCTGCCCCGAGAAGAAGACTGTCCACCCCTCATGGTGGCAGGAGCCAGAGCTGGTCCACCGGACCTCCTGAATACCACAGAGATCCAGGCGGTACCGGTCCAGCTCCCGACAGAGGATTGGCAGCCTCTCCTCCGCACTGAACGTTCGAACATTCCACGTGGCCACACGTAGTGGTTTTTTGTTGTTTCTGGAGGAGCCCCGAGGGTAAGGATTCAGTCTTCTGGCTCTGCCAAATGGGGTTTGGCCAGGAAACGTCATAGACGCCTGTCCCCCTGGAGCCTCCGGCACAAGCTTATTTATAAAAAATTTCCGTCGTGGTTTAGTGGTAATTAATTGAAGGTGGAGGGGTTAGCAGCCTCTCGCACCTGTCCAGAGCCCCCATTTGGCCGCTGTGGTGGTTAAAAACGCCATGAGGGGAAAGGCCAATTTAAATGGCCCTCTCCCCACGGCACTGCCAACCACAGCATTGCCGCCCGGCACCAACTTACTTACCCACAAACTCACCCACCCACACACTCACTCAGTCACTCACCTCATCCACTCATCCAGTCCCTAACTCCCCCACTCACTCACTCACGCACTCACTCACCCACCCACCCACCCACCCACTCACCCACCCACCTACTCACCAACTCACTCACCCACTCACCCACTAATCCACTAACTCACCCACTCACTCACTCACCCACTAACTCACTAATCCACTAACTCACCCACTCACTCACCCACCCACACACTCACTCAGTCACTCACCTCACCCACTCATCCAGTCACTAACTCACTCACCCTCTCACCCACTTAAGTGGGTGTGTGAATTCTCCACGCTACTACTAACAGCACTTGCCCCCGACAGCCCTGATAGAGGCTACATGGGAGATATTTATCTTTGTCATATTTGTGGGCACCTGTGGGTAGACGGAGCAGGATGGGGCAGCTTCACCATCAGAGCAGCAGGCTTGGGGTGGACCGCCCAAGAAGTCGCTTGCATTGTTCATACCACAACAGGAGAGCTGGGAGAGAGACAGAGAGGGTGGGTGGTTGGGTGAGTGGTTGGGTTAGTGATTGGGTGAGTGAGTGGGTTAGTGAGTGAGTAGGTGAGTGAGTGGGTTGGTGAGCGAGTGGGTGAGTTAATGCGTGGGTTAGTGGGTGTGTGGGTGGGTGAGTGAGTGGGTGGGGTAGTGGGTGGGTTAGTGATTGGGTGAGTGAGTAGGTGAGTGAGTGGGTTGGTGAGCGAGTGGGTGATTTATGGGTGGGTTAGTGGGTGTGTGGGTGGGTGAGTGAGTGAGTGGGTGGGTGAGTGAGTAGGTTAGTGGGCGGGTGAGTGAGTGGGTGGATGGGTAGTTGGGTGGGTCGGTAGGTGGGTGGGTTGGTTGGTCGGTGGATGGGTGGGTTAGTGAGTGGGTGGATGGGTGGGTGAGTGGGTGAGTGAGTGGGTGGTGGGTGAGTGAGTGGGTGGTGGGTGGGTGAGTTCGTGGGTGAGTGAGTGGGTGGGTGAGTTCATGGGTGAGTTCATGGGTGAGTGAGTGGGTGGTGGGTGAGTGAGTGGGTGGTGGGTGAGTTCGTGTGTGAGTGAGTGGGTGGGTGAGTTCGTGGGTGAGTGAGTGGGTGAGTGAGTGGGTGGTGGGTGAGTGAGTGGGTGAGTGAGTGGGTGAGTGAGTGGGTGAGTGAATGTGTTAGTGGTTGGGTGAGTGAGTGGGTGAGTGGATTAGTGAGTGGGTGAGTGAGTGGGTTAGTGAGTGGTTTAGTGTTTGGGTGAGTGGGTGGGTGAGTGAGTGGGTGGGTGAGTGAGTGGGTGCGTGGGTGGTGAGTGAGTGGGTCGGTCGGTTGGTCGGTCGGTGAGAGGGTGAATGAGTGGGTGGGTGCAAGAGTGAGTGGGTGGATGAGTCGGTGATTGGTTGAGTGAGTGAGTGGTGGGTGAGTGAGTGGGTTAGTGAATGCTGAGTGGCTCACGATGCTCATGGCTGAGTTCCACTCCTCAGTGACTTTGGAGTCCACTCCATATTCGGTCTGCAGAACGTGTACTCCCTCCGCTCTAGCCACCTGCTCCACCTGCAGAGAGACACGGGGAAAGAGAGACATGGGGAGAGAGAGACATGGGGAGAGAGACACGAGGAGAGAGACAGGAAAAGCGAGAGACACGGAGAGACATGGGGAGAGAGACACGGGGAAAGAGAGACACGGGGAGAGAGAGAGAGAGACACGGGGAGAGGGAGACACATGGGCAAGACACACGGGGAGAGAGACACAGAGAGAAAGAGACATGGGGAGAGAGAGACACAGGGAGAGAGAATGTTCAGTTGATTTGGGGGTGTCGCGGTGGCTAGGAGATGTTTTCTCTCTCTCACTGGGTATACAGGAGGTCATGGTTTAAATTCCAGACCCTGACAATGTATAATCGTACTCTGAGTTTCTATCCCTGTGGTGGTCACTGCGTAGATTTTTCTCCGGGTCCTCTGGTGTTTTCCTGTCGACATTTCGGATTGACGCCACCACGTGTTTAAGAGTAGACGGGTGCTGCTATGAATTTCCACGTGATGATGATATCTGCCACTTGGTGGAGCTGCTATCATTTGTGATGGCCAGGTCGCTTCTAACAAAAGAGTCATGACATAGCTTAGTGGGGGCCTTACTACCTGGTAAAATAAAATTAAAGTTAGTCTACAGTTTCGTTTTCAAGACTTTTCTAAACTCATCGATCGTAAACAATGTGTTTCCCTGGACTAGCCGGCGAGCGCAAGTAAATTACATCACACACGCATGCAGAGCGCCACGTTGAATTTGTTTCAAATGTTTGTACGACTGCCTTTCCGTAGAAACATTTATACTGCAATACACTACACTATGCACTACACTATTATCCACTACACTACTATACACTACACTACTATACACTACACTATACACTACACTATAAACTACACTACTATACACTACACGATACACTACACTACTATACACTACGCTACTATACACTACACTACTATACACTACACTGTACACTACGCTACTATACACTACGCTATTATACACTACACTACTATACACTACACTACTATACACTATACACTACACTACTATACACTACACTATTTTACACTATACTACACTACTATACACTACACTACTATACACTACACTAATACAAATGGTTTAGTTTTTGTTATTGGTTTACGCGTGAGTGTCGGAGACGTGGACCCGTCTCTTGACCTTCAGTGGCGGTGGTGGGAGCCAACTCACCTTGTCTGAGATCTGGAGAGCGAGCATTCCTCCCATGCTGTACGCGATGAGCCCGGTCATAGGGACGAGCACACAGTACTAGAGAGAGACGCAGAGAGACACGGGGCGTGAGAGAGTGACACACAGGGGAGAGGGAGAGAGACAGAGGGAGAAAGACAGAGGGAGAGAGAGATGGTGAGACACAGGGAGTGAGCGAGAGAAACAGGGAGACACACTGGGAAAGAGAGACACGGGGAGAGACACGGGGAGTGAAAGAGACACGGGGAAAGACACGGGGAGTGAGAAAGAAACACACGGGGAGAGGCACGGGGAGTGAGAGACAAGGAGAGAGAGAAATGAGGGGAGAGAGACACGAGGAGAGACACGGGGAGTGAGAGACACGGGGAGAGACACGGGGTGTGAGAAAGAGAGACACAGCGAGAGACACGGGGAGTGAGAAAGAGAGACACAGGGAGAGACACGGGGAGTGAAAAAGAGAAACACAGGGAAAGACACGGGGAGTGAGAAAGAGAGACACGGGGAGAGACACGGGGAGTGAGAGACAAGGAGAGAGAGACATGGGGAGAGAGAGACACGAGGAGAGACATGGGGAGAGAGAGACACACGGAGAGAGGGGAGGAGTCAATGTGGCGGTGATCGTTCACCGTTGACCATCCACCGTGTCACTCTCTCTCACTTGCTCTCACTCTCTCACTCGCCACCGATGTGATGGGCTTCCTTAAGACCTCCCAGATAATTTATCGGCATCCACACACTTTTGGGTTCAGCTAGCAGGAATGCTACCACCTGAAATCTTTCGTGCAAAATGTGAAGAGGAGGAATCCTTCAATTCAGAAATGATTCCCCTCAGCTCAGAGGTCGCAAACGGGTTTTGATTCCTTACCCGTACCCGGCCGCACCAGGGTCGCAAACGGCTACCCGTACCCGGCCGGGTGGGTAGCCGGGTATCGGGTAGGGTATGAGTATCGGGTACCTGGTTGCGACCGCTGCCTCAGCTAAAGCTACTGTTCACTCTCATGACTTCAGGTATTAAGGTAACCAGCCTGAACTGCAACGGTGCTCGTAGCGACAAAAGGTGGGGCCAGATCTGTCGCTTTCTTAAAGAACAGAAGGCAGACGTGACTCTCCTCCAGGAAACCCACCTTGATACCACTCTGAAGGCCCCACGCCAGAACCTTCTAAGTGGCCAGGCCTTCTTCAGCCATGCTGAGGACAGCCTCGATGGAGTGGCGATTGTGTTTGATGCGCGCTTTATTTGTCGTGCGTGCCACGGGTAGCGTTTGTGACGTGCAGCGCACCTGACGCCGTGCTAAACGCTTTTGCTGCTGGCAGCAAATGAAGTTGATTTAAAACTCTCACAATCTCTCTCCCGCTTCTCCGTCCCGCTCACCACGGCCAGCAGCCACTTGCCCTCCCGGTAGACGCCGAGCAGCCCCAGTGCGCCCAGCAGCAGAGCCGCAGCACCTACGGCCACGCAGGCGGTGGGCAGCGCCGTGGTCGAGACAGCGGAAAGCGAGGGGAAGAGCGAGCGAGCCAGCATGGCGTGGCCCTTCCACAGGCCCAGAGCCAGCAAGGAGCCACCCACCGCCTTTGTGGAAGAAAAGAGGGGTTAGTGGGTGGGTGGGTGAGTGAGTGGCTGAGTGAGTGGCTGAGTGGCTGAGTGAGTGGCTGAGTGAGTGGCTGAGTGAGTGGGTGAGCGAGTGAGTGGCTGAGTGAGTGGCTGAATGAGTGGCTGAGTGAGTGGCTGGGTGAGTGGGTGAGTGATTGAGTGAGCGAGTGGGTGAACGAGTGGGTGAACGAGTGGGTGAGTGAGTGGATGAGCGATTGGGTGAGTTATCGGGTGAGTGAGATTGGGTGAATGAGTGAGTGGCTGAGTGGGTAAGTAGTTGAGTGAGTGGGTGAGCGAGTGAGTGGTTGAGGGAGCGGGTGAGTGAGTGAATGAGTGGGTAAGCGAGTGGGTAAGTTATTGATTGAGTGGGTGAGTATGTGAGTGGACGAGTGGCTGAGTTAGTGAGTGGTGGAGTGAGTGGGTAAGTGAGTAGGCGAGTGGCTGAGTGAGTGGCTGAGTGAGTGGCTGAGTGAGTGTGTGAGTGGGTAAGTGGGTGAGCGAGTGGGTAAGCAAGTGAATGAGCGAGTCACCATGATGATCAGGCTGCAGAGCGTGGTGATGAGCTTGAGGAGCCTGGCCACGGTGAGCCCCACAGTGAAGTCACGAACCAGCCCCAGGATCTTGCCCAGCAAAGAACCCACCTGTAGCACCATGAACGTCATCATTATCAACACCACCATCATTATCATCAACACCATCATCGACATCATGATCATCGCCACCACCATCACCTACAGCACCATTAGAATCATCATCAACATATTATAGGCTATCCCTCGCAATCGAGGATGATTGTCTTCCATAGAAAAGTTGTATTATCTGTGGGTCCGAAGATGAATGAAGAGACTGATCTGGGATTGACAAATTCTGCTGCAGCTCGGGCACATGTGTCCGGAAATAGTGGTGGTTGGAACTGGGTTAGTAAGTGGGGCTGCAGCGTTGCCGTTTCCACCATTCCCGTTTTCTTCTTCATGTTTCCACCATTTAGTTTTAAAATGGTTGGATCCTTGAAATAGACTCCATCTCTATGGGAGGATATCCCGGACAATAATCTCCTATGAGTTGGTGTCGATGGTGCACTTCTTCTTGTTGGCCTTGAGCACATCCTTGAAGAGCTTTCACTGCCCTCCTCTTGAACGGACACCCTGACTAACCTGGGAGTAGAATACTTGCTTTGGGGGTCTGGAGTTGGGCATACGGACATTGTGGCCGGCTCAGCCAAGCTGATGTAGAATGACCATGGCCTCAATGCTCGTGGTGTTTGTTTGCGAGAGGACGCTGACGTTAGTGTGTTTTCCCACCTGATTTTTAAGGATCTTCCGCAGGCAGCGTTTATGGTACTTCTCTAGCGCTTTGACATGGCTCCTATAATGTTATCCACGTCTCAGTTCCGTACTGTAGGGTAGAGATTACGACTGCTTGATAAACCATTACCTTGGTTTTGGACCTTATGTCAGGTTCCTCAAATACCCTTTTTCTTGGCCGACCGAAAGCTGCACTTGCACATTTCAGGAGATTTTGGATGTCTTTGTCGATATTAGCATTCTTCCGAGGTATGGAAAATATAAATATTTTCCGGAGTCTCACCATGGATTTAGATTGTTGGAGCTGAGGACTGCTGATTGATAACCGGTTAATGGAGGACCTTAGTCTTTAAAATAATAAGCGTCAGTCACATTTTCTCATATGCCTCAGGAAAAGTTTTGACGATTGCCTGAAGATCCGCTTCTGAATGGGCACACATTACAGCATTTTCAACATACTGGGGCTCAACAACTGCTGACGAGATGGTCTTAGTTTTAGATCGAAGTTGGTTGATGTTGAACAGCTTACCATCCATTAGGTACTTTAGCTCCATTCCTGTTCAAAGCTGGCCAGTACTTAGCTGTAGGATCGCGGCAAGGAATATTGAAAAGAATGTTGGGGCGATGACACAGCCTCGTTTGACTCCAGTCTTAACTTCAAAGTGGTCCGAGATGGATCCATTACTAAGAATCACTGCTTGCATACCATCATGCAGCAGGCAAAGAATGGTGACAAATTTCGGTGGACATGCATACTTTTGAAGGATCCTCCACAGTGCTTCTCGGTTGACAGAATCACAGGCATTCGTGAGGTCAAAGAAGGCCATGTAGAGAGGTCTGTGTTGTTCCTGACATTTTTCCTGCAGTTGACGGGCAGTAAAGATCGTGTCAGTTGTGCCTCTCGATAGCCTGAACCCACACTGGGGATTCTCAGAGGAGTTTATCAGGAAGTGGTAGAAGACGGTTCAGGAGGGTTAGTGCGATGATCTTTCCTCCAGTGGACAGCAAAGCGTCCCACCTGTAATTTCCACAATTGTATTTATCTCCTTTCTAATAAATTCTCACAATCATGGCATCCCTGAGATAGCTTTCAGATTTCCTCGTGTTTCCAAATCTTCAAGATTAGCTGTTGGGAGCCATGGTGTGGAATCCTCTCCCCCTTGTTTGAAGATTTCAGCAGGGATTCCATCGGCTGCAGATGCCGTATTGTTTTTCATCTGCTTGATGGCTTTCCTCACTTCATCAAGGGTTGGGGGGTTTCCAAGCTAATTTTTTATTGGGTGCTGTGGGATGGAGCGGAACCACTGTCATCGACGAACGAGTCACGATTGAGAAGATCTTCGTAATGCTCCTTCCAACGAGTGTTGACAGCTTCCCTCTCCTTGATCAGATCTCCTCCATTTTTAGGCCTTCGGGGAACTGGTCCCCGAGTGCTCGGACCATAGCCGGTTCTGGTGGCACTGAAAAAGCCGTGCATATTATGGATGTCGGCAAGATGCTGGATCTCTGTCACCTTATCTTCCCACCATCTTTTTAGCTTGTTGGCAATTCGACATCTCTTGGTTGGATTTAGTATAATTTTGCCACGTACTTTTGGATCTCCTGATCATTCTCATAAAACCAGTCTTGATGTTTTTTGGTAGGAACTCCCAAAGTTTCTTTACAGGTGTTCATGATGGTGTTCTTAAGGACACCCCAAGCACTGTCCACACTCGCCCACTGTAGTTGATTGAAGTTTGACAGTTCTGCATTGAGGCATTTGCGGAAGAGGTCTTGCTTAATCGAGTCCTTGAGACCTTCGAAGTTGACCTTCCATCGGCATCTCTTCCGCTGCAGCCGTCGCTTGGTCGCCAATTTATGAACATTATTGAGCAAATGAGTGGATGATCAGTCCAGCAATCATCAGCTTCTATCACAGCCTGGGCGATGCATACATCTCTACGATCCCGGGCACGAACAATGACGTAATCGACCAAGTTCCAGTGCTTAGATTGTGGATGTTGCCATGATCATTTGTACAGTAAAACCTCAGAACTCGAACAAATCGGTGTTCGAACGATATTCACGAACATTTTTTGCCCCAGAAACCGAACGAAATTAGGAGGTCGAACGGGCAATCGCGACTTGAAAGAGCCTGTACGGCTGAGACGCGTATGGCCAGCGTGCATGACGCTTGCCCAGACAAAGGTTTTACTGTGTGAGAGGCTCAGTTAATGCGTAGCTCTCACCCAGTGCAGACCCGCAAAACATTGTTCCTTAACTTTTTCGTTCAATGTTAATTTATTTCATTTATTCCATATATTTATTCATTTATTCCATTTATTTATTGTTTCTTGTTTTTTTGTATGATTTTATGCATGTAATTACTGTAAACTTCGTGTAAAAATGCTTTATGAGAGATTTCTTGTGTCTGGAACCAATTAATGTAATTTACATTCATTCTTATGGGGAAAATTAATTCGGTGTTCGAACAAATCGGTGTTCGAATGGCCTTCTGGAACGAATTAAGTTCGATCTCCAATGTACCACTGTATTTTTTTTTCTAGCGAAACAGGGTGTTTGCGATGATAAGTCCATGTTCCATGCATTTGGTCAAAAGGAGGATGCCATTGGAATTGACTTTTCCCACTCCTTCCTTGCCAATGGTTCAATTCGACTCTGGCATTAAAATCATGAGAAAAATAAATTTGTCTCTCACAGGAACGGCAGAAAGGACCTGGTCAAGATTGACGTAAAATTCTTCTTTCGTTTCAACATTAGAGTCAAGAGTTGGGGCATATGCACAGCAGCTTCCACACAAGATTTTGACCGAATGGGACCATGAATCTAATGGCACGGAGACCAAGACGATTGGAGGTATAATTCTGCTGCAGCCTTCGTCTGCCTTCACAGCCGTTGAGATCTTAACATCTGTCGTTGAGAGCTTGTTAACCCATGGCTGGGGGCAGGTAGGCTCATTATGTTCTTATTCTATGGTTCTTTCGGTAATGCACGTAGATAGAAAAATAACGAAATAATAAAAATAAAGTTAATAAAAAATAATAAAATTCACGTTTCGATCGCAACACAAGCGTTCGTCATCACTGCTTGTGTTGCAATCGATACGTCGTGATATTTTATTATTTTTTATTCACATTATTTTAATTTTTATTATTTTATTGTTATTATTTATCTATCTATGTGACTACCGAAAAAAACCCCTGCAGTCATGAAAGTTTTAAGTCAAAACTCATTATAATGGTTACCTAATATGATAATTGGTTTTTTACCCTTCTATCTGGCAACAAAACTGACACCTTTTTACAAGGAGTCATGTTTGCATAGACCACAATACCTGCAGTCATAATGCAAACAAAAAACATAACTCTGATAATGTATGCACTGTCCTTGAAGTTGATTGGTCCACACCCGAGACAGCTTTCCTTAGAGCCTAGTCTCACATGGGTTGGACCAGATGACTAGGCTCTAAGGAAAGCTGTCTCGGGTGTGGACCAATCAACTTCAAGGACAGTGCATACATTATCAGAGTTATGTTTTTTGTTTGCATTATGACTGCAGGTATTGTGGTCTATGCAGATAAGAGGGTAAAACAACAATTATCATATTTTTACTGGCAAATGAGGTTTCCATAGGTTACCTAATAATCGCCATGTCACAGCATCATCAAAGGGTACATGTGGCTTTTCAAGAGGAAACGCATTGCCATCTGTAGTCCTGACCAAACACTGGTGGTTCTGTTGCTGTTTGGTCCACGACTGCTTATTAATTCTAGATTTGAAGCTTTCGTGACTGCAAGGATTCATATTCTTAGGTTTTTTCGGTAAAGTCACGTAGGTAAAAAATTTAAATTAATAAAAGTAAAATAAAATAAAAATCACGACGTTTCGGAGGCAACACAAGCTTCCGTCTTCAGGTGGAACCGTCACAGCCCGACAGCTGTATCAAGTAGATGAGAGATCACAAGAGATACCACTCCGTATATATAATGGATGAGGGGGGGGCAGGAACGGCACACTTTTTATTATTATGGTAAGGTGCGGCTTGAGACTATGAATAGACTGCATAACAAATGACTGAGCTTATTAGTCAGAGCTGCCCCGGTTAATTTGCAGATAACCTTCAGAGAAGGCATTTCCACTATCCGCCACCTGCGGACACACTGGGTAGTAGTGCAGTTCTGCCTCCACCTCTAGCACCACCACATAGGTCGCAACCGGGTACCCGATACCCGTACCCTACCCGATACCCGGCTACCCGTACCCGGCCGGGTATGGGTAGGGGTACCCGTTTGCGACCCTGGTGCGGCCGGGTACGGGTAGGCCGTGAGTCACTGGTGAGTAACCGTTTGTCACTCATTTCGGGTAGGGTACGGGTAGGGAACGGCCGGGTACGGGTACCCATTTGCGACCCTGGTGCGGCCGGGTACGGGTAAGGAATCAAAACCCGTTTGCGACCTCTGCACCAGCATCATCAACATTACCACCTGTAGCACCACCATTAACATCATCAACATCATCATCAGCACCATCAAGATCATCAGCAGCTTCATCGTCAACATCATCATCACCACCATCAACAACATCATCAGCTCTCACCTGCATGATGGCTCCGCAGGCCGAAGCAATTTTTGCCATCCAGCTGATGGCTCCCATTTTAACAAATCTACACACACACAGACAAACAGAGAAAGAGAAATCAGATCTACACAGATATACAGAGATAGATACAGAGACAGATACAGAGGTACAGATAAATCAGATCTACACATTGAGAGATACAGAGAGTACACACAGAGATACAGCGAGAGATAACATAACACAACAACCGCCATTCGCCACTAAGTGGCGGTGACGTCACCACGACGCTTGTGCCAGGCCATGTGCACCTTGAGGCCACGTGAAGTGGCGAACGCCCGCTGGCAGGAGGTGACGGGGCAGACCCAGCAGGTGCCACGGGTCGACTGAGATGACTGGCTGATGCACCACGTGAGAAATATACACATACACACAGATACAGATGAAACACAGATGAGATACAGAGAAACACACGATACAGAGAGAGATGCATACAGATACACACAGAGAGATACGGAAACATCAAATCTACTCTCCCACAGCCAGACACTAAAACTAAACTATACATTTCTTATGGGGAAATTCGCTTTGATATACGAGTATGCTTTGAATTACAAACACGTTTTCGGAACGAATTATGCTCGCAATCCAAGGTTTTACTGTATTTCTTTCTGGCCTGTTGGTTGGCCAAAACAGAATTTACAATCGGGGATGTTAACACAAATAAATGTTTTACGTTTAAAACTTCTTTTAAAGTTGAATTAGAATTTAATAAAAATGTCTCCCGATTCCTGGAGCGAAAACCCACGGAGACAGAAACCATTATCAACCACAGGGATGATTGTATTCCATTGTTTCACAATTTTACAAATAAAACTTAACCCTATTCCTATTCTTAGGTTTTTTCGGTAAAGTCACGTAGGTTAAAAAAAAACGTCGTGATTTTTGTTTTATTTTACTTTGATTAATTTGAATTTTTTACCTACGTGACTTTACCGAAAAAACCTAAAAATATGAATCCTTGCAGTCACGAAAGCTTCAAATCTATAATTAACCCTATTCCGTTGATTTAAATTGTAAGGTGTCAATCATTGTACATGAATAGTTGCAGTGATTTTATAATGCTGTGTCTTTTTTTATGTTTTAAAGTATCAGTCCGTCCAAAACTGTTGGTATCAACCCCCCCGGTGAGGGGCTACACATTACCAACAGCACAATAGCTACAGTGAGCAATGTGGATGAAAGCAGAGGCAGAGCCAGGATTTTCAGGTAGGGGGGGAAACCCCTCCAGCAATGAAATAAATAATATTTCTTACAAACTATTAAAAAACACTCTTTAATTAAATGTACTGTACTAGTAATGGAAGAACTCCACAACTGCAGGAAGTGCCCCGAAGCTTGCCGAGGTAGTTAATATCTCGCAGGGTCGGGATCGAACCCATGCTCTCCTGCGTACCAGGCGAGGTAGTTAATATCTCGCAGGGTCTGGATCGAACCCACGCCCTCCTGCATACCAGGCGAGGCAGTTAACATCTCGCAGGGTCTGAGTCGAACCCACGACCTCCTGCATACCAGGTGAGGTAGTTAACATCTCCCAGGGTCGAGATCGAACTCATAATTATATTCATGACGAGTGTCTGCTGCTGTGTTCAGTACAGCGGTTTGAGATCATTTATGAAAAGCTGGTATTACTATTATCTGCAGCATGCAGTGCGTGAGGGGCCTCCACATCAATTGAAACACCATGGGGGAAGTTTAACAGCAGCACGATCATGATTATGGCGGGGTGGGGGGTGTTCACTCTTTATGTAGAGAAATCCCTTGACAACCGCGGAGGTTAGGTTCCAGAAAACTCCCGTGGTTGACAAAACCGTGGTTCGCAAGACCTAAAGGCTCATGAAAATAGCAGGTTAGGTTCCTGACAAAGCCCCCGTGGTTGGTAAAACCATGCTTATAAAGACCTCAAGGCCGTTGGGAATAAGTAATATTTCAAAATACTTTTTTAAAAACACGCTTTAATGAAATGTACGAGTAATGGTAGAACTCCACGACTCCAGGAAGTGGCCCCGAGGCTTGCCACAACGTAAGGAACCGTAGTGATTTACAGCCAACATCAGTTGAGCGTGGACAATTAGACCCAAGCCCAAACATAACATATACAAAAGATGGTTTAAAATGTGTTATTAATTTTTAATGATAGAATATAGTATTGTCATCAGTATACCAAGTTTGCAGTCGATACCACATTGAGAAGTGGGTTTTGTTGCACAACATTAATGGCTGACGTCTCTTAAATGTCTCTTTCATTTCACTACTAGCAGGAAGTATTCAGCGTTGCCCGGGAGAAAAATGAATGTAAAAACTTTAAAATAAAACCAAACGTGCGGTGGAAATAGAAACTTACGCTCACTTGCCAAGATTCGATTCTTTAAATCGAGCAAAGGAATCGATGATTGTAGATTTCTTTTGAATCGGCCTATTTCCGTTTAATCGATACCACTAACGCTCACTAGATATCGATTCTCGCCAGTCCTGTATGCGGGTTGACGCTACATACTTCATGGTGATTCCCCCCCCCAAATCCAAAAGTCTATTTTTAAACGTTTAACATAGTGTAAAGTTTGTAGCATAGCATATTCTACCCATTATTTATTTTTATCCAAAATATATGCATTATTGCGCCGCCCCCAAAAAATACAAGTCTATATTTATGTTTGCATGATGTAGAGTCTGGAAAGTACCCACATGGCAAATTTCAAGTTTGTTGCAGACACACATATTCACAAATTCCCCTTTTATATATATAGACTAGCGGTAAGTACCCATCGTTGCCCGGGTGAAAGACAGACACACACATTGACTTACACACAGACATCGACCCACACACATAGAAACACATCGACTTACACACATATGGACTCACACAGACATCGACTTTAGACACACACACACAAGGAGTTACACACACACATCGAATCACACACACACATAGCCTTACACACACATATGGACTCACACACACATACAAAGACTCACAGACACATTGACCTACACACACGCATATGGACTTCCAAAGACAGACTTATCGACTAAGACACACACACACAGGGACTTACACACACATACACACATTGCCATACACACATGGACTGACACACATAGACTCCCACACAAACATACATGGACTCACACACGCACATAGAGCCACACACACATAGACTGACACACACACATGGACGTATGCACACACACACACACATGTACGTACAGACACACACACATGGACTCACACGCACACATGGACCAAAACACACAGAAAGAAATGGACTTACACTGACTCACATGGAGCGACGCACACACAGCAACTAACACACACGCACACCGACTGACACAAACAGACATATCGACTGCCACACACAAACACATCAACTCTGACACAGACTCACACACATTGACTAACACACACACATGGACTTACGCACACACACATCGACGGTATGCACTATCACTACAGCAGTGCCTAGTGACTGTGGTGTAACCTGCCATCACAAAGGCAGTGCATACTGACAGTGGTGGTACCTGCTATTAATACAGCAGTGCATACTGAGGTGGTACCTGCTATCAGTACAGCAGTGCATACAGACTTTGGTGGTAGCTGCGATGATAAGAGCACTGCATATTGTGGTGGTACCTGCTATGATGACAGCAGTGCATTTGGACTGTGGTGGTAGCTGGTATGATTACAGCAGTGCATACAGTGGTGGTATCTGCTTTAGCTACTGCAGTGCATACGGACTTTGGTACCTGCTTTCACTACAACAGTGCATACTGACTGTGGTGGTAGCTGCTATGATTACAGCAGGGCAAGCGACAGTGTTGGTACCTGCTATGATGACTGCAGTGCATAATGACTGTGGTGGTACCTGCTAGCACTACAGTAGTACATGCTGATTGTATAGCAGTATATATGGAATCTATAGCACAAAGTAAGTAGAGAGAGTGCCGTGGTGAGGCCTAGTCCCGTGCAGAACCCCCGGGCTCATCTAGATTTCCCAGCCCACCGAGGTGTCACCTTGCCGGCTGGGGGCTGGGCCGGTCCCCCCGGCCACGCGATAATAATGGGATGTAAGCGCTACAATAATGATATGTAGGGGCTCTATAGTAGTTTCAGGACACATTGGGGTATCATTGGGGTGGGGTGGGGAGAAGAGGACATTGCACAGAGTGAAGAATGTACGTGTTTAGTGTGTTTTTGCTGCATGTGTAAGGCGAATTAAAATTTGTGGCGATCGTGTGTGCGTTGCTAGGTGCAACCCATGTTAGCAGTGCAAAGTGTAATGAGATAAATGCTTATAAGACTAATTTGTGGGACTTACCTTGGGCGATGGTGCGTGTGGATTGCCTGGGGGTAACGTAGTGGACGCTTTGCACTAGTGCAGCAGGCTGCGTTGTGAGCCAGCGCGTGGCAAAGGAAATAAATCAATAAGACAAACTAACTAATTAATTGAATAAAAATCTCCAAAAATGCAAATTTTACTAATTTAAAGGTGACGGACATGAAAAAGGAATAGCCTATTCCCACAACGGGGCTTAGGGCGTGCTGGCTGGCAAATTCGTTTAGACATAAACCCCACCGTTCGAGAGCCAAATCCCCAAATCATTATAAAAAAAGAAAAAAATGTAGGGTGTATCGCCTATGCGACTTTTCTCTGACGACACTTCTCATTTTCTCAAAATACCCTCACCATACACTCCACACAGCTCAAATATAGTGTACACGGTGAGGGTATGTAACAACATTGCACATCACACGACGTAATGTACACTACTGACTGCTCGTGGACAGTCATCCGTGGCAAGATCAAACGCCACCCTGTTGATTGAAGACCCAATTTGGTCGAAAGAGAATGGAGAGTGTACGAAAAATCTTGTATACAAACAGGTCTTTAGGCAGCGATGATACATTTCGTTTCAGTTTTCGAGTGAGTACATTTAGTAAAATAATTTCTGAATACTGTTTCACGTAGATCACAACAACAATCGCATACATTCTAGATTTGAAGCTTTCGTGACTGCAAGGATTCATACTCTTAGGTTTTTTCGGTAAAGTCACGTAGGTAAAAAATTATAATAAAATAATACAAGATGAAAATAACTAAATTAAATCACGACGTTTCGGAAACAACACAAGCCTCCGTCATCAGGTGTAACTGTTCCAGTAAAATTACTGTAGCTACAGTAATTTTACTGGAGCAGTTACTATTTTTTCCCTACTGTGACTTTACCGAAAAAAACCTAAGAGTACCCATCGCATACCACCTCATCCCTTGGGTCCAGGTAATGGGCCCCCCAGCTAGTATATAGAGACACATAGATTAAACTATTGGTTTAGTCCCTGGGTCTCTACTTGTCTCTATGTATCTCTATGTGCCTCTATGTATCGCTTTAGGTCTCTATCGGCCTCTATGTGTCTCTACAGTGTCGCTATGGGTCCATAGCTATCTCTATGGGTCTGTATCCATCTCCATGGGTCTCAACGTGTCTCATTGGGTCTCTATTTATCTCTTTGGGTCTCTGTGTCTCTAAGTATATATCTGTGTCTCTATGCATTCAGAGTATTTGGGTGCTGCTACGGAATGTCCACGTGATGATATCAGCCACTTTGGTGAGCAGCTATAATGTTGTGATAGCCAGGTCAAGCCTTATGATGAAGAGCTACTACATAGTTCTGTGGGGCCTTGCTATCTGGTAAAATAAAAAAAGGTTTAATTAATAATAGTACTGTACTAGAGGGAGGCAATTTTATCTGTGTACCTAGGCTTGTGGACAAACTGGTTACCTGAGTTCACAGAGGTCACAGAGCCAGACCAAGGCTCCTGTTTGGTTCAGTGTTAATCACTGAGCCAGACTAAGAATCCCATAGGGTTCAGTATTAATCACTGAGACACATAGAGCCAGACGAAGGCTCTTATAGGGTTCAGTGTTAATCACTGAGACTCATAGAGGCAGACTAAGGCTCCCATAGGGTTCAGTGTTAATCACTGAGACTCATAGAGCCAGACTAAGGCTTTGAATGGAAATCCCCTTCAGTGAGTTTCAACACAGTGCGTGTGTCTTTCTTGTATTTTGTGTCTAAGTATGTCTGTGCGTGTCTCTGTCTGTCTATGTGTGTGCCTTTGTTTGCGTTAATGTGTTTGTGACGATTATCTGGGTCTCCCCTAGATCGACTCAGCCTCAAATGAATTACCTGGTTGCAGTGGGTGTGTGTAGTAAACATCGCCACTGAGTGAGAGAGTGGGTTAGTGTATGGGTGAGTGAGAGGGTGAGTGGGAGAGTGAGAGGGTGAGTGGGTGAGTGTGTGGGTGAGGGAGTGGGTGAGTGAGATGAATGGGTGAGTGCTACTTGCTACTAACAGCACTTGACCAAACAACCTGCTAGAGACTACACGGGGGATCTTTGTCTGTGTTGTCTTACTCACCCTGTCTCTGAGATTGTCTCTCTCTTCCCGCGTCTCCCTCTCACCTTGTCTCTCTGTGTGTCTCAGTGTGTTTCCGGTTGTCAATGCGTCTCTAACCTTGTATCTCTGTGTCTGTCTCCGTGTCTCTGTGACTCCAGACCAAGGCTCCCATTGCGTTCAGTGTTCATCACTGAGGCTCACAGATCCAGATTAAGGCTCCCCCATAGGGTTCAGTGTTAATCACTGAGACTCATAGAGCCAGATTAAGCCTACCATAGGGTTCAGTGTTAATCACTGAGGCTCATAGAGCCACTAAGGCTACCATAGGGTTTAGTGTTATTTACTGAGGCTCACAGAGCCAGACAAAGGCTCCCCCCATAGGGTTCAGTGTTAATCACTGAGAATCATAGAGCCAGACCAAGGCTCCCATAGGGTTCAGTGTTAATCAGTGAGGCTCACAGAGCCAGACTAAGGCTCCCCCCATAGGGTTCAATGTTAATCACTGAGACTCACAGAGCCAGACTAAGGCTCCCCCCATAGGGTTCAATGTTAATCACTGAGACTCACAGAGCCAGACTAAGGCTCCCCCATAGGGTTCAATGTTAATCAGTGAGGCTCAGAGCCAGACTAAGGCTCCCATAGGGTTTAGTGTTATTGACTGAGGCTCACAGAGCCAGACTAAGAATCCCATAGGGTTTATTGTTAATCACTGAGACTCATAGAGGCAGACTAAGGCCTTTAATGGAAATCCCCTTCAGTGAGTTTCAACACAGTGCGTGTGTCCGTCTTTCTTGTATTGTGTCTAAGTATGTCTGTGCGTGTCTCTGTCTGTCTATGTGTGTGCCTTTGTTTGCGTTCATGTGTTTGTGACGATTATCTGGGTCTCCCCTAGATCGACTCAGCCTCAAATGAATTACCTGGTTGCAGTGGGTGTGTGTAGTAAACATCGCCACTGAGTGGGCGAGTGAGTGGTTGGGTGAGTGACTGGGTTCGTGAGTGAGTGGCTGAGTGAGTGGGTGAGTGTGCCAGTGTGTGAGTGTGTGGGTGAGTGAGTGAGTGGGAGAGTGAGAGGGTGAGTGGGTGAGTGAGTGGGTGGGAAAGTGGGTGAGTGGATGGGTGCTTGAGTGGGTAACTGAATGGCTGAGTGGGTGAGTGATTCGGTGCATGAGTGGGTGAGTGAGTGGTTGAGTGAGGGGGTGAGTGAGTGAGCAGGTGGGTGAGTGGGAGAGTGAGTGGGAGAGTGAGTGGCTGAGTGGGTGGGTGAGTGAGTGAGGGGGTGAGTGAGTGAGGGGGTGAGTGAGTAAGCGGGTGAGTGAGTGAGTGAGGGGGTGAGTGAGTGGTTGAGTGAGTGGGTGAGTCAGTGAGAGGGTGAGTGGGTGGGTGGCTGAGTGAGTGGGTGCGTGAGTGGGTGGGTGGCTGAATGAGTGGGTGAGTGGGTGGTTGAGTGAGTGGGTGAGTGGCTGAATGAATGGGTGAGTGAGTGAGGGGGTGAGTGAGAGAGTGAGGGGGTGAGTGAGTGGCTGAGTGAATTGGTGAGTGAGTGAGGGGGTGAGAGAGTGAGGGGGTGAGTGAGGGGGTGAGTGAGTGGGTGGCTGAGTGAGTGAGCGGGTGAGTGAGTGGCTGAGTGAATGGGTGAGTGAGGGGGTGAGTGAGGGGGTGAGTGAGTGAGGGGGTGAGAGAGTGAGGGGGTGAGTGAGTGAGGGGGTGAGAGAGTGAGTGGGTGGCTGAGTGAGTGTCTGAGTGAGTAGGTGAGTGAGTGAGTGAGTAGGTGAGTGAGTAGGTGAGTGAGTGGGTGAGTGAGTGGGTGAGTGGGTGAGTGAGTGGGTGAGTGAGTGGGTGAGAGAGTGGGTGAGTGAGTAAGCGGGTGAGTGGGTGAGTGAGTGGGTGAGTGAGTGGGTGAGAGAGTAGGTGAGTGAGTGAGTGGGTGAGTGGGTGAGTGAGTGGGTGAGTGAGTGAGTGGGTGAGAGAGTGGGTGGGTGGGTGAGTGAGTGGGTGAGTGAGTGAGTGGGTGAGAGAGTGGGTGGGTGGCTGAGTGAGTAAGCGGGTGAGTGAGAGAAAGAGTGAGTGTTACTCGCTACTAACAGCACTTGACCAAACAGCCTGCTAGAGACTACACGGGGGATATTTGTCTTTGTTGATTCACTCACCCTGTCTCTGAGATTGTCTCTCTCTTCCCGCGTCTCCCTCTCATCTTGTCTCTCTGTGTGTCTCAGTGTGTTTCCGGTTGTCAATGCGTCTCTAACCTTCTATCTCTGTGTCTGTCTCCGTGTCTCTGTGACTCCAGACCAAGGCTCCCATTGCGTTCAGTGTTCATCACTGAGGCTCAGAGCCAAACTAAGGCTCCCCCATAGGGTTCAGTGTTAATCACTGACTCATAGAGCCAGACCAAGGCTCCCATTGCGTTATGTGTTCATCACTGAGGCTCAAGAGCCAGACTAAGACTCCCCATAGGGTTCAGTGTTAATCAGTCAGGCTCACAGAGCCAGACTAAGGCTCCCGCTATAGGGTTCAGTGTTAATCACTGACTCATAGAGCCAGACCAAGGCTCCCATAGGGTTCAGTGTTAATCAGTGAGGCTCACAGAGCCAGACTAAGGCTCCCCCATAGGGTTCAGTGTTAATCAGTGAGGCTCACAGAGCCAGACTAAGGCTCCCCCATAGGGTTCAGTGTGAATCACTGACTCATAGAGCCAGACTAAGGCTCCCATAGGGTTCGGTGTTAATCAGTGAGGCTCACAGAGCCAGACTAAGGCCTTTAATGGAAATCCCCTTCAGTGAGTCTCAACACAGTGCGTGTGTGTCTGTCTTTTTATCTTTTGTGTCGATGTGTGTCTGTGCGTGCCTGTGTCTATGTGTGTGCCTTTATCTGCGTTCATGTGTTTGTGACAATTACCTGGGTCTCCCCTAGATCGACTCAGCCTCAAATGAATTACCTGGTTGCAGTGGGTGTGTGTAGTA